AACACCTGTGCTTGCTGTTGCATACGTGCTTTTTGGAGGCAGGGAGCCTATAATCCTTTTGAGCAAGAAGGACTTTCCTGTACCTGAAATAAAACCATGAACAGTGGTGTTCAAAATGCTATGAAAAAAAGAGCTCTATATAAAACAATATGTGGCCATGAATAAATAAATTGTAAAAAATAAAAATTACCTGCACTGCCGGTGAAAAACACATTCTTGCCACTCAAGACTGCATTGAGAACTGCAGTTTGTTCTTTGCTGAGCTTTTGTGCCACAGGCAGAGCCAACACAGGCTTCTTATTGGGGTGAAGCACTTTAACCTAAACAGGCAAATAATTATTTATTTGGCAGGTACCATGTACAATATAGAACATAAATGTTTCCATTTAACGCAATGTACCAGAGCTAGCCAATGGTAAATTTTATTCAGCAGTCGCTTGATTTATGAACTTATTCCATAATTCTGCTAAATGCATGACAGAAGAACATTAAACCTTCACACACTGTTGTTGTAAAGTTCTTTTCCCCTCCCTTTTAAGATAGTAGGTGAAGGGAAGTGATAATCTTAATGGAAAAAGTTTTATCTCAGAATTAAACAATAAAAAAAAAACGTGAGACATGATTGAAATATGATTTTGATTACTAAAATTAATTGGTTTAAAAATTAATTAAATGTAATCCATTTCTTTTTCATAGACATGCATTAATATGCATTTACTGTACTGTCAAAGTTATTTTAAGAGTATAATTGTTGAATGCGGGGCAGGTCAAGAACTTTTATTAGGGAGGAGTTAATCTGAGAGTGCAAGCGCCAGCTGCAGCCAGACCCTTCTCATCTCGTTTGCCTTCTGCACATCTTTAAGCTGGAGTGGACTTATCACTCATAGGCTTGATGCCTTGGGATGCCTGATGTTTGATGCTGAGCGTCTTCAGAAACATCTTCAAACGATCCGGTGGACAATCAGATACCAGAACCTGTGTGCTTTCCGGGATGAATTTAACAGTACATTTACCATCCTTTGTAAAGCGTGTAAAGAGCTGGAAATCGCGCAGCATGAAGTTTTGAGGAGCTTTGCCATCGTGAACACGCAGCACCATATCTTGAAACTCATTCCGCCCTAATGTGACGGTGCCTTTGCGGATGAGCTGCCGTTTGATGGCTTGACCTGCAGGATTCAAGCGCTCCACTGCCACGGTGCACTGAAGCTCAGCTTGGTCAATGAGTCCCAAAATTTTGCCTGAAGAGAACATAGAAGGACAGCTTAAAGCGTTTGACTGATTTAACGTATGACTTGATTTGTCATTTAATAATACCGAGTCCGGTATATACCGGTTTATAGAGGGCTTTGTTTATACTGACATTAATCTCAACTGAAAATTGAAATCGATAATAAAGGTACCACATATACATGTTTATTTAACGCAGAAGCCTAACTCACCTTTTTCGTGCACTGTTTAAACAGCGAGTCAACACCAGCTGTTCATTCATCATGACGCGCACGCCACGATTTTCAGATAGTTCCGCTTGACAAAGATGGGTCAATAGTGACAAACTGCAGACCAATCAGACCATAGGTATTTAAACAAATAGCCAATCACCGATTGCGCTTAGTAAACGTAAGCGGCGGGCCCGCCTACGAGCTCGTGCTCTACCAATGAAACGACGTTGGTGGGTTGGACATCTCTTCACAATGCACATTCTGTAATTCTAATTTGGAAACAATATCACACTTATTTTTTGAATATGAATCTCTCTGCTCATCACTTAATAAGAAAGCTGCTAAAACTACTGTATTGATGGAAAAAATATTGACTTTGATGTAAGGGTTACCTCCTGTGTATTCTTTGAAGTTGACATTTTATGTGTAATTTTCCATTTGTTATTTTTTATTTTAATTTATTTATGATTTATTTATATAAAAAAAGATGTTTAACTTTTTATTTATTTGTTTTTGTTCTGTTTATATTTCATTTTTATTATTCTTTATGTATTTATTGTTTTGTATTCTGGTTGTGTATGTATTTTATTGCTATGACTGTATCCCCTGTGAATGTTATATCTTCAATAAAAAAAAAGAAAAGAAAAAAAGAAACGAAGTTGGTTTTCATTACGTCTCTTCCTTCCTGGGCTTCTCATGCTATACCTTACAGTTCTCATGGACTGGTTGCTTTTCTTCCCTTTTAACCAAGTAATTTAGATAAATAAAGTTAAACAGATGAATTAACGGAGCATGCTTTATTCACGATTAACAAATTAAAGTTTATTTCATTATTTTATTTTATCTTTCTTTCTTTCTTTCTATAATTGCTTTTTGCCCCCTTTTTAACTAAGTAATTTAGATAAAATTAAACAGGTGATTTAACTGAATATGATTTATTCACGATTAACAAATTAAAGTTTCTTTCTTTCTTTCTTTTTAGAATTGCCTTTTCCCCTTTTTAACCAATTAATTTAAATATTAATAATAAATAATATAATAAAATTAAACAGATGAATTAACTGAGCATGCTTTATTCACGATTAACAAATTAAAGTATATATTATTATTTTATCTTTCTTTCTTTCTTTCATTTCTGACTACTAAAGTCAAGTCGTCAAGTCACCTTTATTTATATAGCGCTTTTAACAATACAGATTGTGTCAAAGCAACTGAACAGCAGGTTAAAGAGATGGGTCTTTAATCTAGATTTAAACTGCAAGAGTGTGTCTGCCTCCCGAACAATGTTAGGTAGGTTATTCCAGAGTTTGGGCGCTAAATAGGAAAAGGATCTGCCGCCCGCAGTTGATTTTGATATTCTAGGTATTGTCAATATTTGATATTCTAGGTATTATCAAATATCAAAAGTATACACTTTAAACAAAATTTGTTTAAAAAGCAAAATGGTAGGCTAAATAAAACAGATTATTGGAGTATATTTTACAAACAAACAAAAAAATAAAACTAACATCAGTGTGTCAGTGTGTTGCTTGTCTTTTTTGTAATTAATTGTTACATTTACTAGCAATTTCGGAATAATAATTGTTTCTGCACCTATTTTCTTTCAGCATACATACATGAATAAATATGCCTATGCCCATCCATCCAGAAACAGTTGGCAAGTCCCCTATATATTTTCTTATTATTCATCAATAAACCAGTGATTTACAATTATAGGTCATTTTCACATGGGCTAGGGTTTACTGTTTAGTGGCAGTGAAAAAGCAAGTGTCTTTTGATTTAGTGGTGGTTAAATACATTTTCCAGAATAAAATATCAGTCATGGGTTGGTGTATTTCCATAAACAAGAAGTGCTCTTTTACGTAAGCTGAGAAAGTAATTTCCAGGAATGGGTCACTGTCCCACATCATTAAGCTCCGTTCAGTACATGCAATCTTTTCTTTAATTTATATTCATTGGCAAAATGACATCTGGCTGAGTTATGACGCTCAGGAGAGGTGGGCAATACCAGAATCCAGGCTGAATCCACTCCAACAGTAAGGACTGCCTTCACCCTGCACCCACAGCCCATTGAAGATGTAGTGAGGTGGAAGAATAATAAACAGAACTACAGTGAAACATAATAA